TAATATAAAATATTATAAAATAAAGAAGGAATATTATAAAAAAGTGAGGTAGTTACCAATTTTCTAAGAGTTCCAAGATTTAGGGGAAAAAAAACCATGCCTCTAGGTCAACTTGTGAAAGCATGCATGCTTTCTTAAACCTCATGTAGAAGAATAAAATATTTTCTTCTTACTCTTAGTAAAGACAGATGGAAAGAATTCTGGTATCTGTTTGTTATTTCAACAAAGACTGAAATGCCGTAATTATTTTAAATGCCCAATACCTGTAATATTTTAAAAAACACAGGAGTACCTCATATAGAACATTAGTTCTGAATTGAAGTACACTTGGATATTTACTTCATTATTCCGTTTATTTTTCTGGTTTGAGGTTGTGGAAGCAACCATGAAACCAAACTACATGATGCCACTGCTAGGCAGTAACTTAATATCCCTCTCAGCAATCAGGCTGCTTCATGCTTCTCTCTTTTTTTTTTTCTTTTTTAATAATTCCTAAAAATTAACACACTAATATCAAAAGGATGAAAGATATGCAAAATGTGTGTTTTAGAACCTTATGGGGAAAATGACTAAATGAAACATGGAAAAATGTTTGTACTCATATGTTTAACAAATTTGTAAGTAAAAGGAGTTGTTTGTAACTGTCTTGAACAACACATCTCCAAATATACAGAAACTGTATGGGCAAGTTTCTAAAAAAACTAAAAAACACAAACCCCAAAACCAACAAAAAGACCCCCCAAAACCAAAACAACCACCCTTCTTCCCACAGCCAGGAGCTTCTCCTTTAACTTCCAATGTACCAGGAAATACACACGTACTTATACCAATATCTGCAAGGAGGACTGCCCATTAAAACATTTAGGGAAAGACAGGGTCTTCTGACTTACTCTATCAGGGGTGCTCCATAAAGAACAATAATCGCATGAAATAGTATGCAAGACATGAAAAAGTATATACAGCATTTTAGAAATCTGGATATCTAAAAAAGAGCAATAAAATATCAGAATAATGTTTCAAGAGAAGATAGAACATAAGTAACATGCATAGTCTGTATCTTATCACTAGCATTGTACTCTACCTATTTCTTTAATTTTAACTACAGCACAGTATGACAACAGCATATTTCAACACAGTTTTACGTATGTTTAATACTTTAGATAATTAATTAAAAATGATCACACTCCATCTAAAATTTTTTCATGCACCCTATTATAATAAGGTAAGCATACAAAAAATATAACTGGAAATGACAAGATAAACAGAGATAATTTTATTGGCTAGTTTTACATTTCAGTTTTACATTCGAGTGTTATGTCCGTTCATTAAAAGGCACCTTTCACACAAAGTGAAAAAATATTTAAAAGCAAGAAAATATGTAAGGGGGGGGGGCAGCAGGAAGACATTCAGAATCAAATGTAATAGTTAAAGTTACATGAAATAAAAACCACTACATTTTGAACTTGGCATCTTAAATTCTAAGTCCATTTGAGAAATGTCCATGACTTTCTATAAATCTGCAAAACATTTAATTTTCTACGAATTCAAACAACAGTTTCTGGGTACTCACTATATCATACAGAAGCATAGCCACTTGATAAACAGTTCTGGTTAGGTCTGATCAGGTCACCAATGGAAATCCGTGATTTCACTTGAACACTTTTTTTGACATTTATTCCTTATGCTAGGCTGGGATGAAATCTCACCTAGAACACGAAGCCTCCTTCATTTTTACATCACAGATGGTTAAAAATACTTGTTTTCCATAATGATTTTGTGCATTTTATATCCCCCTCAGTCAGCAAAACTAGACAGCTTTGCATACAAAGCCACAGCTTTCAGGGATGCCTGCTTAAATGTTTGAGAATCACAACATAAGAGCACTAAATCTTGTCTGACTCGGCAAGCTGGGAGTGCAAAACTATCCAGCTGACTTCAAAATGCCAGTGTATTCCCCCACTCCTGAACAAGTTGTGCACTGCTCCAAATTTGTTCTGTTCAAACATATTTCATTGGGATTTAGTGCTCCCATTACAAACTGTAACTACAGAAATTTCTCCCAGGTTTAGATTCTTCTGCCTGCAAACTCCATCATTCAAGGGAAATGTAGCCATTTTAATACTTCTCCACATTAATTTTTAAAAATATATCAACTTTGTTTAAATTGTAACAAGTTAGTTTCTCTTTTATGTCTCAGATTCTAAAAACTATTTCTCTTCCTTTAAAGTTACTAGAAAATTATAAATACACGTGTGAAACGTGTTTCTTCATAACGCCGAAGGTCAGGCCTGGACTTTGAAATTAGTTCTACACCCATTCAATTTTGCTCATTTTTGCCACCATGACCAACAGCTGGGACTACAGACAACAATACATTGACATGAAAAGAGAAAGGCACAGAATTGCTCACCTGAACAGGTTATTTACAGGTAGAGAAAGTTTAACATCACAAAAATATTGGTGAACTTATTTCAAAGGGTGCTACACTCAGCTCATTCATGGAAAACAAGAATTCACCACCAGAACTTGTCATCTTCTTTCCTTCTCATTTGATTATTTAAGTGAAAGAATTTGCTTTGCCTCCATATTGTCTGGTAGCAACTTAAGAATAGAACTCTTACCTTGTGAGCAAGTGAACTTCTCTTAGGGGTCAGATTTGGTTTAAGGCCTAAGTGCAAGATTATACTAAGGGTACTAATAAAAACAGAACAAACACACAGCCACGTGAGGTGTGTTCCCAAAACTGTGAATCCGTCCCAGAAGAAAGCCGGAACAACTGCTGTCAGAATAACTGAAAAAACACGGAGGAGGTTGGCAGCGAAGAGCCTCCGTATTTCCGCTTCTTTCATTGTCTTCCCTATTAAGCAGCCACCTGCAAGACAGAAAGTCGCACCCCGTTGCTGAAGGGCAGTGAACGCGCTACAGGACCAGATTTTTCCTAGCCACAATACACAAAGTAGCACTCTGAGCTTAGTCTGGGGCTGAAAATCATTATTCTGGGGCAGAATAATGTCGTTCGTTTAAAAATCAATCCCCAGCCCACGGACACAGCAGCGCTGCGCTAAGAGAGCTGAGCGCTCGCACCGAGCAGGTAACCGACCCCACACCGGCACCCCTCACGCCACAGAGCGCGCTTCCTGGCAGAGGGATACCCGCCTCAGCCCCTTCCGCCCGGGCCGGGCTCCTCCTCACCGCTCCCTCTACAGCCAGGGACAGCGGCGGGGCGGCCTACTTGACAGGCCTCGCGCCGCGGCGCCTCAGGCCGAGGCCTCGCCCGGCGGCACC